GCTGATGTCCAAGTCAGGTGCACCTCCAGGCCGATAATCTTCCTGCAACAAACAACAAACCAAAGACGCAATTTTACAGTCGAAGAAACAGGATGCAAAAGAGGCAAGAAGTACGCAATTTCGACAGAGGAGGTCAAAGGCGACTCTCCTAGACCAATTCCAATCATTTCCGGCGATTTTTATTTTGTTCATTTTTGGCAAAATTTACAATCTTTAGCGAAAATGGGTGGGTCCGGATTTCGACGGAAAAGTAGTCGAACCAATGACGGTGGACCAGGGAACCACAAAACTACTTTTGGTTCCGCCAGAAACCACCCCTGTCCAGACACACTTGAGTTTTAAGGGGTTGTCTTTTGAATCTGGCGGGCAGCGTACAATGGGCTGCCTACCTAGCAGGTGAGCCGGTACAAGAAAAACGGGCGTAACTCACTTAAAATAGGTCTGCGAATTGAAATTTCGACGAAGAGTTAGTAAGAGGGTGCTGGCAAACCAATCCCAACCATTTCCAGCGATTTTCAAATTTCTCATTTTTGGCCAAATTTCCAAATTTACTTCCTATTTTTGGCGAAAATTGATGGGATTTCGACGGAAAAGTAGTCGAACCGACAGGGGTTAACCAGGGAACCACAAAACTACTTTTGTTTCCGCCAGAAACCACCCATGTCCAGACACACTTGAGTTTTAAGAGGAGGTCTTTTGAATCTGGTGGGTAGCGTACGATGGGCTGCCTACCTCGCAGGCGAACCGGTCCAAGAAAAACAGGCGCAACTCACTTGAAATGGACCGGCGGCGCGAAGATTCGACATTATCGACTATTTCCAGCAATTTTCAATTTTTTTTCATTTTTGGCCAAATTTACAAAGGCCATAAATTGATGGGTCCGGATTTCAATGGAGGAGTATTCGAATCGACAGGGGTAAACCAGGCACCACAAAACTACCTTTGTTTCTGTCAAAAACCACCCCTGTCCACAAAAACTTGAGTTTTATAAGAGCTGGTCTCTTTAACTAAGGGTGGGTAGGCTACCTTAGGCCCACTGGCTAAGAACTCTGCTGTAGTGGGTCGGCACCATGATATTTAGACAGAGCATGTGAAAAGGGAGTCTGCCCTACCAATCCAAACCAATACCAGCAATTTTCTAAATTGCCAAGATTTTTACGGACATTTTCAGTGATAACAAATCAGCCTGGATTTTGACAGAGGAGGATTGAAATCGACAACAAAGAACCAAGGCACCACAAAAGACATCAAATACCACCCTTTGATGCACACGAAAGGAAGCTTCTCATAGTGTCTGTACAGAGACAAATTGGACGAGCGTTGGCCGTTACTGTCATGTCAACTCACCTATTCTTTTGGGTAAAATGACTCCATAGACTTCTCTTGCTCATGTCAAAAACATTTCTGGGCCAAGTTCCTGCAATCATATTAAACGGTACTTTTAGCGCTCATCAACTTTTAATTACATATAAATAACTCATACAATACACTTTTAAATGCCTCTCCCCCCATGCGTCCCTAAATGACAATGGTCTTTCAAATAACTAATTTTGGCACTGGATTTAACAAGTACGAAGGGGCAGCTGCAAATTATCTGCAACGCACATTGATTAATTGTTTGGGGGACTACGCAAATAGTACCACTCGGTTTGCACCGCAATCAGAAAGTAAGAAAGTTTTCTGTTCCACGAGAATAAAATAGAGTAAAATATATATGTGATAAAACACTGGCAGGTTCACCCATTTGCATGAGGACCTACAACAGTATTTAACATACTGCATGGATTGGAGGAGTCTACCCATTCAACACCTTTTCAA